AACTTTTACATTCTACTTAAAATAAATTGTATCCATTTTTTAAATAATAACCAGTAGTTGGAGGAAAAAAACTGGACATGAGGCAGTTTTAGACAATTACCATCCTTGTGGCTCTCTCTTCTATGTGCAAGGCAGACAGGTAATGTAGATTATAAGGAAAGAAGCTTCATTTAATCGTCTAAATGCTTTGGAAATAGGCCACACTTAATGTTTGTTGAGTGAGTAAATTAAAATTATAAATGTAATTTTCTTAGTATTTAGGCAGAATGACAACTATCTTTATTAACCTTCTTTCTAATGCATTCCTAGGGGACAGGAGAATAACTGCACTTTTAAGAAATATTTCAGAGCTCTACTTCATGTCTAGCACCATGTGAAACTTGCTCTCTTTGTAACTTGCTCCCAGCTGTTACATACTTCATCGTAACGTGTTCAACTTGACAGAATGACTTATTTTGTTCCTTAGTACCATTTATTCTAGCTTTCTCCTTTCCCATTGCCTTCTACATGTATTTGCCCTGTTCAAATGTGAAGCATTTTTCAAACTTCAAAAATGCCACATAAATGTTGTTGTTTGTCCTTCGTTTTTGAAGAGAACCAATGCCAATACAAGGGTGTCTTGACTTGCACACGAAATAGATTTAACTGAGGCAGAGTTGAGCAAAGTCCTCGGCCTCACTCTCCCTTGCAGAATCTTTGAAGTCCAGTGACAGGACAAAAGTCAAGATGATGGCAATGGCCTGGTATGCAGTGGATAACCTTGTGCGGCGGCCACACCCCAGCAAAGCCATCTTGACAGATGGGCTAAACCAGGTGGAGGGTAACTTGACAGACCTCAAACCTGTCAGTGACTTAGGGGGATTTCTACCCCAAACATGTGAAGACTTATCCTGACAGAATGGGTGGATGAGAACAATTTGTTCTCTGGGGCCAAGACAGGGAACCAAACTGTTTGGACACTCTCCAGCTAATTAATGCCCTTAACCTAGTAGTGTCCAGAAATGAATGCATTACACCAGATGAAGTTTGACAGGAGTAGAGTACAGTGGGACCATCCCTTCCTTATTCCTAAAAGTTCTGCACCTCTTGATGCAGTCCAAGATCACTTTCACTTTTTTGGCTGCCATGTTGAAATGAATGCAATACACCAGATGAAGTTTGACAGGAGTAGAGTACAGTGGGACCATCCCTTTCTTATTCCTAAAAGTTCTATACTTCTTGATGCAGTCCAAGATCACTTTCCCTTTTTTTGGCTGCCATGTTATAATGCAATTACAATTGTACCTTGCAATGCACTAAGACCCCTGGATCCTTTTCAGAACAGCTGCTGTTTAATCATGTCTCCCCCACACTATACTTGTGAAATTGCTTTTTTATACCCAAGTGCAAGGCTTCACATTTGTACTTATTGAATTTGATCTTATTAGATTCAATCAATGCTCTAGCCAGTCAAAATGCTTTTGGATCAGAGGCAGAGTTATGATGGAAGAGTAGCAGGAAGAAATACAGCAAGTTCCCCTCCAACAAAATTCCTCCAAAGAGATCTAGAAAACACACCAAACTGAAGCCTGATAGGGAAATCCAAGGAAAAAGTCACCATGAGTCATCTTGCTAGACTAGGTCTGCATAGGAAGACACAGAGTTCTGTGGACACTTGGGATAGGGCAGCCAGGAGCATTCCATTACAGGGAGGATTATTGATACACCGTGGCTTACAGAAAGAAAAAAAATGCACCCACAATTTTAAGTTTAATCTGCATCATTAACATTTTCTCCACCACTTTCTTAAATCCAGACAATCAATAAAACAATACATCAAATCCTGATTTGTAGTGTTTGATTTCTGAGGTGTAAATGCTCACACTAAATATATGATAAACTGATAAGAGCAGGCTCCCACACATTCCTGCATAGGAGTCACATTTGAGAGGTAAGTCCACAGGTGAGGAATATGTGTGGAGTATCAACTCACTGAAGGATGATGTTAGGTTAGGGACAGTTATTCCACTGTCCACAGTAGGCCTGCTCCCCACGGAGCATGACATTTCCATTTAAATGGTAGCTCTAGGGTAGCTAGGTGATGCAGTGGATAGAGCACCGGCCCTGGATTCAGGCATACCTGAGTTCAAATCCGGCCTCAGACACATAACACACATTAGCTGTGTGACCCTGAGCAAGTCACTTAACTCCACTGCCTAATTCAAAAAAAAAAAAGAAAGAAAGAAACAGTAGCTCCACTGACCTCAATGGACCTGCTCCATGCCAAAATTGTTGGTGTCCTTTGTTAAGCTTGCTCCTTGCTGGGCACAGTGGTATCTTGTCTGTGCCTGCTCAGCGGGCACAGTAGCATCTCTACACCACTTTCCCCAGCCTCTGCTTCTCACTGGGTATTGTGGTGTCTGCTGGAATGATTTTTTGCCTTTCTGAGCCTTCACCCCTCTGGTGGTATAGTGGTAACAGAAGACAGACAGCTCTTTGATCTAAAAGCCCACACAGGTAATGAATGCCAGGCAGACAGCTCCCTGGGCCAAGGTTAGATATGTCCTTTTCTACATCTTAGCCAAAAAATGAGTCTTCTATTTCAGATAAATGCTTACTGTTAATCCCTTTTATCACTCTTGCATATTCTACTAACATCTCTGGCTAAAATGCAAATTAATTTGAGCCAGGACAAAAGGCCAGGACACTGTTCTCCACCCACCCCTATCTTTAGTATATATGTAGCTGTCAAGATAGTTGAAGCAGCAGGACACCCTGCTGGAGAGAGAGGAGGCAGTATGGTGTGCTTTGCAAATCAAACTACCACCCTGACCTCCATGTCCCTTCAGACCCTGATGGAGACAGCCCAGGACCCAGAGCCCAAGAACCTTGGGAATAGCAATGTCCCCTCAAACCATCAGACCTGCTCCCAACCCAGCCCCACAGCCAACAATGAGGGGAGAAATCACTGTGGAGAAGGGACCCACCTTCCTTATCACCACCAGCAACAGGTAGCCAACTGGCATCCCCAGACAGATAAGCATAGGATCCCTGGGAGTGGCAGCACCTCCCAGAGAAACAGTCCTGCTTCCAGCCTAGTATAACCAGCCATCATCTGAGCAGGCAACTCCTGTGAAGGTGCCAAGCATTCTCAAAAACTACCGTATCAAGCCAATTGTTGCTAAAGCAGCAAATTGACCTGGGAGAGAGAGAGGAGGCAGAATGTGCCAGGAATGTCAGGCCACCACCACTGCCTTGACCACCATTTCCTCATAGACCCTGATGGAGTGAGCCCAGGACTCTGAACCCAAAAGCTTTGGGAATAATAATACGTCCAGCCAAGTGCCTTCAGGCATCACCCTGGGAAGCAGCCCTGAGGAAATGCAGCTTGGCAACTGCTCCAGCCGCACTTACTGGAGACTCAGAAAATAAAGTTCTTATCACTGAAGTCTTTGGCACTGTCAAATGGTTCAACATCAGAACTGCTATGATGTTATTAGTGGAAAAGACATTAAAGAAGAGGCGTTAATATTTGCTTTGCTGCTAGAGTCTAAGCACTCTAGGACAATTCCATTTGACTTGCAGCTGAAACCTATATGTGTCCTGTCCCTCATTGTTCTGAGCTCTTTGAGACCAGGGATGGTCTCACTTTTCCATTTGGATCTTCAGCCCTTAGCATGATGCTTTGCATGTTAAGTGCCTAACAAACACTTTGGGGGCAGTTAGGTGGTCCAGTGGACAGGCCTCACTCACGCCTGGTCTCAGGGAAGACTCATCTTCCCAAGTTCAAATATGACCTCAGACATTACGTGTGTGACCTCACTTAACCCTGTTTGCCTCAGTTTGCTCATTTGGAAAATGAGCCGGAGAAGGAAATGGCAAACCACTCCAGTATCTTTGCCAAGAAAACCCCATAGATAGCTGGCCTGTGGGGTAATGAAGGGTGGGACAGGACTGAACGACTCAACAGCGACATGCTCAGACACCACTGAGCAGCAACGACGCTTTTTCCATTCTTTACTTCAACAGCAAAACCTCATTGCTTTGGTGCAGTATTTGGGCCAGCAAGCCCTACATCAACGTGAGCTGTTTTGATTACACAAATTTAATTCGGCCAGGTATCCATTAGGACAGTGCCGATTGTGTGGCCTCCTGCTCAGCAGCAGCAGCATGACAGAAAGAGCTCTGGCATTCATTGCATGGCCCCTACCACACACTACCATGTGACCACGGGCAACTACCCACTTTCCCCATCCCCCTCAGCTTCTTGATCAGTAAAATGGGCATAATAATACTTGCACGATCTACATAGGATTGTGGTGGGGAAAGCATTTTATAAACTATAAGGCCCCAGAGTAGTGCCATAATCAGGGGCCTGCTGGAGCCAGCTGAATCTACTGGATTGTTATATTTTCAGCAGAAATACTTATATTTACACCACTGGAAATCTGTCAGGGCTTGATATTTTGTTGACTGTCTAGCCTTAAAGTGATGGAGAGAATATGTTAATAACGCAGATTAAACTTAAAGGTGTGTCCTGCACACATTTTTCCCCTCAGAAAGCCGGTTGTTAAATATTTACCAGCATACCTCTGATAAGTATTGCTAAACTCGGGGGTTTTGCCCTACTTGTGAGCAATAAGATCTGATTCTGCCTGCCGGGATCCAAGGAAGTGGGAAATACCATGTTCCCCGATAAAGTTTCACAAACTGGAACACCACACCCCCACCCCGGGCGCCCCTCCCCCCGCGCCAAAATCCCCGAGCTTCGCTCTGACGTCTTCCCTTCCAGCGTCGTGACGCAAGAGTACCTTAACTTCGTTGCGCGGTCACGCCCTTCGTCACACAGAGGAAACACTGAGTGCCGGCCCGAGTCTTTCGACACGCCCTTGCACCCCTTACAGGCCCTTCCTTTCCTGTCAGTCACTGACTTTTGTCCAATAGCAGCGGGGAGGAGGGGAGGGGCGGGGGACACGTCGTGCCGCGTGCGGCAGCTTGTGGCGTCAGCACGTCTGTCGACCGTGTCCATGGAGAGCCGCTGAGCTGCCGCAGGACCTCCCTGGAAAGGGAAAGGAGGGGGGAGGAGGCGGAGGAGGCGAAGGAGGGAAAGAGGGAAAGATGTCTGCTTCATTGGTGCGAGCCACAGTCCGGGCGGTGAGCAAGAGGAAGCTGCAGCCCACCCGAGCAGCCCTCACCCTGGTGAGTTGCGTTGTGCGCGGTGGCCAGGTGCCATTCGGGCTCCGAATGGCCCTTGACATTGATTTCACCTCCATTTCTCCTAGTGATACGAGAGGTCTGGGTGATGAGGAGAGCAGAGGGAAGCAGCTCCGGAGCCAGTCGGGTACCCTGGGCTGGGGATGGGAAAAACTTCCCACCTGGAGCAACTGGGATTTCTTGGATCTCCGAACGAGCTAGATAAACAAGTGTCGGGTCCTGAATCTTTAAGGGTTAAAGCGGTTCTGAGGATGAACTACATTTCCCAGCAACCCGCGCACCCTCAGACCCCCTGAGCCCAGGCGGGCAGGGGCGGGGCCTCGAAGCTGTGCTTGAGAGATAGAGAGCCCTGTTGGGAGGAGTGTGTGGAGCAGAGTTTTTGTTGTTGTTGTTTTGTATTTTATTGATGCTCTTTTAAAATATTGTCATTGACGTTAATTGCCACCCACTCCCATGGAACACTTCTTTGTATAAATAATAAGTATAGTCAATTAAAACAAATTACTTTGACCATGTCTGAAAAATGTATTAAACAGGTGTACAGACTAGTTAAAGGCACAAAGAAAGGACCCGATGTTATCACATGGGTCATTCCCTACCCCTCTCTCCCCTTGCGGTTCCTGGAGGGTCCACATCTTGCAGATCCCACGGAGCTGTAAGGGACTGTAGAGATCATCTTCTAGCCCAATGCCTGATCCCTACAGAAAAGGAAAAGAGGTCTAGGAGATGAAGGGGCCATGCAACTGACCTCACAGATAGAAAGCTGGAGATCCAGACTTCTAACCTCAAGACCATCCGTCATTAATTCAACTACAGCTAGCTTCCTCCTACTGGATGTAGACTCTGACAGAGAATTAACAAAGGACTGGATTGTAAGCTCCCTTAGGGAAGAAACCTGTGTTTTATTGGTGTCTTGAAAAACACGTGAAAATGAGTAAGAGGACACACAGCAGAAACACACAAACATCAAATATAGGCGCCTAAACACGTGGTATCTCAAACATCCAATATTTGTGACTTTGGGAGATGGTGATTTCACTAGGAAACACATTACTATTTTTAAGCATTCTTTTTTGACATTTTCCCCTTAGGTAAAGAGAGATCTTCCTGTAGACTCTGCTCTTTTGATACCAATACTTCTAACTCTGGAAATAAGTGACTCTAAAGAAAGATAAAGAACTGAATTTGTTAAAATGTTAGAATTGAAAGGAATTTTAAAGATCAAATGAGATAATATTTGTAAAAAACCTAACACAGGGCTTGGCACATACTAGGCACTATATAAATACTAATTTCCTTCCCAGCTCCCTCCCATTATAGTATCATAAATTTAGAGCTGGAAAGGACCTTTGAGACATCATAGACAAGGTAAGGCACTTGCTCCTGTCTGACCCCCAAGACAGGAACTTAGATTTCTCAACTCTCAGTCCAGTGTTCTCTGAATTCAGTCCTAATTTTCTTTTTTTTTTAATGTATTATTGATTCTTGCTTTTCCCTCCACATTATTAGTACATCCTAAAGACTCTTCTGTTTTGTAATAAGTAAGTATATACTAGCAAAACAAATCAACATAGTGGCTCATCCAAAAATGTATACTTCATTCTACGTCTGTGTTCCACCACTCTCTACTGAGGCTCTGCCTGCTTTTAATTTAATTTAATTTTATTGCCAATTTTCCTTTTATCATGAACATGACAAATATTAACAAACATGAACATTTCTCTGACCATGAACAGGAAAAGATTTGATGAAGCCACGAATTTCCATTATACGCAGCTTGAGAGATGTTTTTGCTTATATTTCAGATTTAGTGGTAGATATAACAGTGTTCTGCTTGTGTCTGTCCCTTTCTAAACTTCCTTATGCTCTCTTCTGTTCATATTTTAAAATGATTCATTGACATTTTCTTTCTTTTTTTAGTATCACTATGAATATCCTGTACTCCTTTCCCAGTTCTCCCTTACAACACATCCTTCCTGCCCAAATAAAAACTTTGCCGTTTAACAAACAAATATAGTCATGGAAAACAAATCCACAGATGTCTGAAAATATATTTCTCATTCTACATCTCTACTCCATTACCTCTCTGTTAAGAGGTAGAACACGTGAGTCATTATCAGTCTTCTGGAGATGTGATTGACCATTCCATAGACCATAAACCTTAAAAGGCATAGGGGCAGCTATATGGAATAGCGGATAGAGAAGGGTGAGGGGCCTTGTATGCAGAAAGACCTGAGTTCAAATCCTTCCTTGGATACTTACTAGTTGTGTGACCCTAGACAAGTTACTTAACCTCTTCCAGCTTCACTTTCCTCATCTATAAAATAGAGACAATAATAGTACTTATTTCAGAAGGTTATTGTGAGAATCAAATGAGATAAGTTTTTTACAGACCTGTGCTGCACTGGTCTGACCATGTTGCTCTCCAGTCAATAAACTCCAGTGGTTCCCTATTACCTCTAGATGAAGCATAAAATCGTGTTTTGTTTTTAAAGCCCTTCATAACCTGGCCTACTCCTTTTTTCCAGTCCTTTTACACATTACTCTTCTCTATCTACTTTACAATCCAGTGACTGACCTCCTTAATGTTCTTCTCACAAGACACTTCCATCTCCCAATTCCAGACATTTTTACTGGCTATACAACCATGCCCGAAATGTTCTCTCTCTCCTCCTTGATTCCTTCAAGTCTCAGCTAAAATCTCAACTCCTTTTCGAGGCAGTTGGGGTTAAGTGACTTGCCCAGAGTCACACAGTAAGTGTTATGTGTCTGAGACCAGATTTGAGCTCAGGTCCTCCTGACTGCAGGGCTGGTGCTCTATCCGCTGTGCCACCTAGCTGCCTCTGAAATCTTAACTGCTGCAAGAAGCCTTTCCTGGTCCCCTTTAATGCTAGTGTCTTCCCTTTGAGATGATCTCCAATTTATCCTGTATATCCTTTCTTGTACACAATTGTTTTCATGTTGTCTCCCTTCATCAGATTATAATCTCCTTGAGGACAGAAACTGTTTTTGCCTTTGTTTGTATCCACAGTGCTTACCACAGTGCCTGGTGCATAGTAGGTGTTTAATAAATGGTTATTGACTTGTTGACCTGGCTTTACAATGTTGTGGGCTTTGTATAAACTATTCTAGTTATCATCACTTCACTCTGCTTCAGTTAATATAGGTCTTCTCGATTTTCTGAATCTACCCTTTTTTTAAAAATCATTTTTTAGCAATAATGTTCCATTATGTTTACATACCATTAACTTGTTCAGCCATTCCCCAATTAACAGGCAACCAACTTTATTTCTAGTTCTTCACTACAATAAAAAATGATACTATACTTTTTTTTTGTACATATAAGTCCCTTCTCTCTTTGGTCTCTTTGCAGTGGAAGCTTGGTAATGGTATTGCTGAATCAGAGTTTTCACAATTTAGTGACTTTGGAAACATCATTCAAAATTACTTTCTAGAGTAGTTGGACCACTTCACAGCTCTAGCAGTCTTTCTGCTTCTTAAAAATGACTCCATAATAAATCAGTTCTGCTTCTCATTTACTGCCCTAAATGTTAAGATTAGATTGCCCACAGAAATGGATCTGATAATTGATAGAAATTTTGGTACCTAAGAAGGATGACCCATTTCATGTAGCCTTTTGCAGTTCTGCTACTTATTGGCTTTATGAACTTGGGCAAGTTACTTAACCTCTGTGGGGCTCAGCTTCCTCATCAGTAAAACAAAGAGGTTAGACTAGGCAGCTTCTTAACTTCCCTTCCAACTTCAAATCTCTGATCCTGTGATAGTAATTGTTGGCCACCTAGTATGCGATATGCTGATAATTTGGTCTCGATGTCCAAAAACCCTAAGAAAGTAGCATGGCAAAGTAGAAGGTCAGTGAACTGGGAGTCAAGTGATCTAGATTCTTATTTGTTCTGTTAATTAGCTATATGACCATAGATAAAGTATTTTGCCTCTCGTGACCATGGTTATTCATTGTCAAATTAATAAGTTAACTGATCATCACAATGACCAACTATAATCCCAGAGGATTCATGATGAAGCAGGCTACCCACCTCCTGAAAGAAACTGAGACATTTTTATTTTGAAGTGGGCAGTTTGGGGAATTTGTTTTCTTTGACTATATGTATTTGTATCGGGGATTTTTTTTCTTGATTGCTCAGTGTGGGGAGGGGATTTAAGAAGGAAAGAAGGCAGAGCTTCATTTTTTTAAATTTAATTTTTAAAAAATTTTAAATAAAATTAATAAATTAGACTAGTCAACTGAAGTTCATTCTAAATTATGAAATTCCATAACTAGGGTGTGTGAGAGAGATGGGAGATAGGGAATGGGCAGAGTGTTGAGGAAAAAAAAACTACCTGGATTTCATCTCTGGTTTTTTATTCATTGTTTCTGATGCTTTAGTCTTATTTCAAATTTTCATGTTCTCTAGCAAAAGTCAGTATGTTGTGGACTGGAGCACTCCAAAGGGTAGATAACATGAGAACCTGAAAGGGAGGGGAAGATATCATCTTACTGTTTTTGTTTTACCTTCTTTTTTACTTGCTATACTAATCTGTCACTAAATCCTGTCATTTCTCACTTCAGATTATCTCTGAGTTACCCTCCTTTCTGATATGCTGATAGCAACCTAAATTATCTAAAATACTGATTTCATTATATCACTTCCCAGCACAAAAGTCCATATGGCCCTGGCTGCTTGGTTTAGCTCTCCTACCTAGCTTTTGTTTTTTTAAATAATTCCCTTACCTCAATTCCCTACAATTTAGCCACCCTGTTTTCTCATAACTCCTTAATATAAACCCCTTTAATCCAGTCAGACTGATCTGCTTATTGTTCCATGATCCCACCTTGTCAATTTTCATGTCCATACTTTTGTTTTCAAAAAATTATAGGATGATAGATCCAGAGCTGGTAGGAACAGATGCTTTATTGATGCCATTTTAAAAAATAAAAGTCATTTCCCAGTATACTTTCATTGAATCTTTCCTTGTAACAAAGAAAAATAGTTAAGCAAAAACAGCTGATAAAATATCTGACAGCATATTTTTACCCAAGACCCACCATCCTGTCACTCTTCCCCATTTGGGGGGAAGTAGATTTTTTGAACCCAAGTATAGGATGTTATATCCCTATTGAATTTTATCTTAGATTAATTCCATTGTTCTAGCCTATTGAAAATTTTTCAGATTCTGTCATCCTATAGTCATTTCTCTCAACTTTGTGTCATTTGTGTATCTGATAAATAGGCCAACTATGCTGCTGTTCAGGTAGTTTTAAAAATATTGAATAATACATGCCCGAGGAATTGTCCGTGAGGATCTGGTGATAGGGAAAGGCTTTATGGAGAATGTCCATATTGCAGTGCATCTATGATCCCAGTGATATGGGTGTTCCAGTGATGCTTATCATAACCCATTTATACCTGTTTATCCTGTGGAACTCTTGTCCATGTCCCTCTCCAGAGAGGGGGGAGGGGTGGTTTCCCTACCTGCTGATGAGGCTCCCTTAACTCTCTGGACATTGAGGACAGCAGTGGAGCAAGCTGACTGCAGTTGTTCTTTGCTGTCAATCCATGCATCACATTCCCCAGTAGACTGTAAAACTCTTTGTTTTATTTTATTTCTCCACTACCAACAGCTGACACAGTGCGCCCTTAATAAAAATTGATTAAAAGCCACTAGCTGGTAATAAAGCCTAAGATTCTGCTGATACAGTTATTTGTATTTGACCTAGACAGTCGCCTTCTTCATTCCATTCAACAGTTGGGCTTGTTGTTTGTCACCATTTGGGGCATAGACTCGTAAGCTGGGAGGTACCTTAGAGATCATTCAGTCCCCTATCTCTGCTTCCTCTAGAAGGTCATCCCCTTTCTTCTGTTCACCGAGGATGTAGTCCCTTTTCTGGCTTCTAGAAGGCAGATGTTAATATCCTTCTGTAACTACTCAACCTCTGCCTTCACCACCACACAACTTTGTTTCTTCTCCATTCCATACTTTTCATATACTCTTAACAATCTCCCCAAACTGACCCCACCCATTCATAGCCACTACAGTTCCTCTTCTGTTGCCACACCCTTTCCCTGCTTTGTTCCTAGCTCCCTCTAGTTTCCCAAATAGCTTCCTTTTTTCCCTTAAACTTCCTTAAATTGTTCATTCTGTCTATGATCCTTTTCTCCTTTTTTCTTGTTCCCCTTATAACTCCTTTAAGATATTAATGCTCCTTAACACACACACACACACACACACACACACACACCCCTCCTCACTGCTTCTTTTAGTAGAATTGCAGAATTTAGATTTGGACAATGCCTTTCAAAAGTTTTTGTACTTTGGAAAGGCATCATCCAAATCTAAATTTATAAATGTGTTTTCTGTTCCTGAGATTTAGAAATGTGTTCTGTTGATCCAAGCTTGATATTATTTATTTTAATCAGATTTCACCTCTATTAAAAATGTTGGGGGAAGAGGATGACAGAGTGAGTCCATACACTCTTCTATTGTTAGTACTTCATGAACCCAAGCATTTGTGCTTCCTCTGTCCAGGATTTTTGACTCAGCAGGGAAAGTGGTGGTCTAGCAATAAACTGATGTAAGCCTGAAGCTTGGGTTTGCCGCTCGTCCGTTATAAACATATCGCTATCAGATAGTATATATGATAACATCTTTTATCTCAGAGCCACTCCAAAAAAGATGCTTCAGTTCAGAAGAGGATAGAACAGGGCAGTTTTATTAATGTTTTGTTAAATTGAGTTTACACATTAAAAACAATAAATTATGTAACAACTTCATAACAGTTTCATATACAGCCTTCTTTTTATGTTTTGTTTATTGAAATATCTATTGATGATTAAGTTCATGATTTTTTTTAAGATGTTTGAAAGACCCAAATCTAGGGGTGGGGAACCTGCAGCCTATAAGTCCTCAAGTACGGCCCTTCAAACTTCAGTCAAAGGACCATACTTGAGGACCTAGAATGCCACATGTGGCCTCAAGGCCTCAGGTTCTGCCAATCCTTCTACCAACAACCCAGTGCCTGGGAGTAGGGGAGGAAAGGGGGTAGACTTGGACAACTTCGGTTGTGAATACTGAATTAGTAAGTGATACATTGTTGCTAATAGACTTTAAAAAAATAAGACTTGAGTGTTGGGTGTAATACTTCAAAACAGGCCTGTACAACATGACAGCGCACAAAAAATGTAGAGGATGTAAAAGAAAGTAAAGAGATTACCCCACTTAACCCGCCTTCCACTAGTCACTATCATGCCATCATATAACTTGGCGGGTGGGTTGCCACTGTCCACTCTCCTGTTTGTCACATGACTCACGGAAACCAGCCATCAGCAGTCTGTCTCTAGTCTGAGAGGAGCAAGAGTCCTGTCTTTTTGCTATTTTCAGTCATTACTGGTATTAAACCGGGACAAAGTGAGTGCAGCCATGTGCCAGCACAGCTTACATCCCCTACTTAATGAGGGCCAGCAACACCAAGGGCTTCTTACCCTCTTTCACTTTGAGGCTGCTCTCCAAGTTACGTGAGTGTGTGGCACTCTCTCCGAGGTCAGACATTCAGTTCAGTATTTGTATGTGGGCAGTTGCTGGGATTTTTTGGTTCTAACATTAAAGGTTTTGGGGTGAATTTGTAAAGTGAGTGTTAAAAAGAAATAAAAGATTGAATTAAAACAGAGTATTTAATCTGGAGTGGACAAATAGATACTTGTTTACTTGCATGAAAAGTAATAGCCATTCCAAAGGAATACAGTCCCATTCGCCATTTGGAATCAGAATATCCTGACTTAAGCAAATTGGACACCAATGAAAAACAAAGTGTCCAAATTGTTGAAAAATCTCAGTGGGGAACAATGGGGTTTTTCTAGAAAGTAAATTCAGAAAATGATGTTAGTTTTCAGATTTCTAAAGAAATCTTTCAAACATGATTCTGGAGTAAGATAAACTAATTGCTGACAAGAAGTGTAATGCATCCCATTAACTAAATGTAAACAGAAAACCAGAAGAATGTATTAAAACTTGTTCCACTTAGCAAAGTAATTTTTTTAACATTAATGTGATTTCATGATAAATAAAAATCTTAAGTAATAAGTATAATTAATTGATTTTAGTTGAATTTCCCTTTTAATATGGTTTATTTGCAAAATAGTTGGGTTTGGGGAAGGGGTTTTGGTGAGGCAGTTGGGGTAAGTGACACAGCTAGTAAGTGTCAAGTGTCTGAGGCTGGATTTGAACTCAGGCCCTCTTGATTCCAAGGCTGGAGCCCTATCCACTGCGTCACCTCGCTGCCCCTATTTGCAAAATAGTTTAATCATTAATTATACCTTTATTGGAAAGTGAGCCAATAAAAATCTATCTTCAGCCCGAGGAAGTTTAGCCTAGTTTAATTTTGGCCCCTACCTACTGCCAAGTTGGGCAGGTCTGCTTTAAAATATAAAGCACAAGACATGAGAAGTAGAATGTAACCAAGTTTTTTTTATGTGGTTCCCAGCAGAGTAGAAAGACCTGGGTTTGACTCATTGTTCCTTGTTCTGGAACTTAGTGCCTTTGTTTGCCATCGGGCAAGTTGTTTCACTTCTGTAATGAGGAAAGTTATTTTATAAATTGTAAACTCCTGTTTGAATACTAATGAGCTATTGTTATGGTTCTTTTTGAGAAAGACGCTAAAATCTGTGGAGAAGATAGAGTAGACATCTAAATCAAAATTTAATTTTCTTTTATTTTTCAGACACCATCAGCTGTGAATAAGATAAAACAGCTTCTTAAAGATAAACCTGAAAATGTAAGTAGGAAATGATTCGTGACCGTGAAATGAAGATTGTGTTGGGAAATTGTTTTACACTTATACCAGGTATAACAATATGTAGTGGAAAGAATTCTAGATTTTATGGCAGAGGACTCTCTCTGGGACCCCCTTTTCTCACCCATAAAAATGACGGGGGTTGGACTCCACAATCAAAAGTCTCTTCATGATTGAAATTCATAATTTACTTACCTGGAATAAGTGATATAAATCCATTTCTTACCTATACCCTGAATATATTCTGTATGTATGTAATTGTTTGCATGCTGTCTCCTACATTAGAATGTGAATTCCTTAAGGGCAGGAGCTGTTTTTGTTATGACATCCCCAGAACTTAGCACAGTGCCTGAGGCTGCGTAGGCACTTAATAAATGCATGTTGATTGACCAAAAGGAGAAAGAAACTGGTAATTAAAGATGATCTCCAAACACATTTGAATTTGGATTTTTGTCATTCCATTTAAAATCAAGTAAGCTTTCTGAAGATTAGAGAGCAAAAGATAGAGTGGGTTTATTTATTTGTAACTACTAATAATACAGATCTGGAGAAGGTAAGAATCAGACTTGTCTTTTGTACTCAACCTTTTAAGTGACCTTGGTCCAATTCATTTAATTCTAAACCTTCACACAGTCTATAGAATGAGTAGCAGGCAGTGCAGGATAGAAGAGCATAAGCCTAGGAGTCAGGAGACCTCAAGTTCTAATGCCAGCTCTGCCACTAACTAGCTATTGCCGTCAGTGAGTCGTTTTATCATACCAGGAAGAAATGTTGGCATTTGTAATGTGCTTTTTTACCTAAAACTGTAGGGTAGTTTGTTTGTTTGCTTTCCAAACGAATCTATGTAGTACCATAGGGCTAGTGTCCATTTGTAATCCCTGCTACTGGGGGAGACTGAAGTTGGTGGATCTCTGGAGTTTGGGAGTCCTGAACTCCACAAGGGTTAAAGGCAATTACTTGTCTGCATTAAGTCTGGCAGTGGTGTGATGAGCACCCAGCCAGGGAGGCACACGAGACTGCATACGGTTGGGGAAAGCAGTCCAGGTAAAAATAGCTCAGGTAAAAAATGGAACGGGTTTAAGATTCCATGCCAGTCAGTATTAGGATCTCCCCCATGAAGGGCTACTATACTTGTAGCCTAGAAAAAAATGGGGAAAACATAGTCTCAAAACACACACACACACACACACACACACACACACACACACACACACACACACACACAGAGTCAGATGTTTTCATATAAAATTATATTCTGTGGCAATTTGCTATACAACATGTTTACTTTTAAATGTCCACATCCATTCCTAATAATTATGTTTGGTTGTGTCTTCTTGTGTGATGCACACTTTGGCTTCAGAACCTTACCTAACATGGATTATTATTTATCCCTGTGTGAACATGAACTGTCTGTCAGGTTGTCTTTAAGCATGGAGGCAGAAGAGAGCAAACTGTGCTTGAGAAACAGCCAGGGGGTCTAGTCTGGCTGGAATGTGCAGCATGTGAATTCAGAAGAGTCTGGAGGCTGGAGAAAAGTGTTGGGACAAAATCTTGATTTCCAAGGAAATTGTATTCTATCTAAGCTGAAAGGTATAAATGAAGAACTTTTGGGTAGGGGGTGTGAAATAATCAAAGATATAGGTATATAGGATAAACTGGAGAGAGGAAAGACTATAGGACAAACAGTTTATAAGCCTGTTGAAATAAATCAAGTAAGAAATAATGGGACCTGGAACTAGAGTGGTAAAGAAGAAAAGGGGACAGGTGGAAGGAAATGTAGTGATAAGATTTAACAACTGCTTGGTTCTTAAGGAAAAGGGAGGAGCATTCAAAGACAGGCCTTAATTCTGAGTTATGGGAAGGGTTGTGATGCCATAAGCAGAAATAGAAAAATTAGGAAGAATATCAGATTTGGGGGGAAAAGCAAATCCGAAAAAATTGGTAACTGAAGAAAGCAAAACCAGAATACACAGTATGCATCCTTCTTGGAACTATGTAAAAAGAAAACTGTGGACACAAATATAGAAGTGAATAAAACCAGAGGATGCAGAGAAAACAAACTAATAAACTTGTGGATGTGCATTATATTTAAAAATTCATTTTTAATTGTAAATCCTTATAAATTTATTCTTACTTGGTTTTATTAAAGTCAGGGTTTTTTGTTTGTTTAACTTAAAAGGAGGTGGCCCTTTAGAGCGGACCAGTCCAGGAGGACAAAGACCATGGGGTTTTGGGGATTGCCATATGTTTCCTAGTGCCCAAGGCTCTCATTTTCAACACAGAGCTCTGCTTTGTGAAGGGGGAGCAATTGAGAAACAAGCAGCCGTCCTGGGGAGAGAGAGGCACCTGGAGAATCTTTTAGGATTTCAGGCCATAAGTTTGTTAGGAGACCACTGGAGCAAGTATCAGGAGAGTCCAACCCCAGTTCTGCCGCTGATTTGATGTGTGTGACTGGACAGACTTTATCACCTCTCTGGGCCTCAGAATTTTTGTTTTTGTTGTTCGTTTATTTTTAATGGGAGCTTAGACCAGATACTAATGTAGCAGGAGCCTGGGGCCTACCACACTATATGTGGTGGCAACCCCCTCAACCTGCTACTTGGCTCATTACCATTCTCATGGTCCTGAGTTCTAAAATAACCCAGGGCATATGTTTGGATATTTCCTCATTAATTGCAAAAATTGCACGTCTCTCTCATTCAGCAAGTTTGTAGACCTCACCACACTCCAGTCTATTAAATGTTGCTTATTTAATAAGCTAGAGAAACCTCTTTTCCCATAAATATCTATAAATCAAAACCCTTTATTCGGTTTAAATAAATATTGAAGTTGCTGGCTATACCATGTCTTAATGGGTTAATAATAGCACGGAGATGTAAATGATTGTTTGCAGTGTGTAAAGATCATGAAGTTACCTTTGACCATTACTACAGTTTGGCTTCTCATTCATATAACATGGTTCTGCCATTTAGTTTCCTCCAGATAACAAGGCTCTTCTCAAGAATCTTCTTCATCCTCTTGCTCTGTACCTTCTGTCTTTTCACAGATGACTCTTCACAGAATTCTCATTATAATGTTTCTTCACCGTGTAGGAGTTAAGTTCTCCCAAGAAAAAAGTTTTCCCTCATCTCAGACTTTCACTATTAACTCTATCTTTTCTGTCTCTCTATAGAGAGACTCAAACCTCATAGAGTAAAATGTTACTCTCTAAGCTTCCCTGTATCTTGAAGATACGAGTAACAATTTCTGTACCTCTACAGAAGTGTTACACTAACATAAAATTAGGAGGAAAAAAGCTTTCTTTTACTGAGTTGTGAAAGAAACATTTTAAAATATTTGTGGGCTTATGAGTTTTTTTATAATATAAAGAGGTATTCTATTATAAATGCTTTCCTTAGGGAGCAGAATATGATTATTAACCCTTGTAATGAAAAGAAAATTTTTCCTGCTTAGTCTTTACACAGGGCTATTTTAACCAAAGAAGTAATGCCTGTCCACATTTTCTAGTTCAAATATGGATGAATCAAGATTGGTAGCTGAGTTTTCAGTGTGTTATTGTCTGTGTCTTTGTGTAAAAACAAAATTTATGTCAAAGAAAAAACACTTTAAATTCTCTTTCAGGTAGGTCTGAAAGTTGGAGTCCGGACCAGAGGTTGTAATGGACTTTCTTACACTTTAGAATATACCAAGACAAAAGGAGAGTCTGATGAAGAAGTTGTTCAGGATGGTAAGTCTTTTCTTAAAAACACGTGGCAACTTGATCTGCCCCCCAAATCCTACCCTTCGCTGCATGAAGCACGTGTTATTTCATCTAATGAGCCAGCATTGTTAAGCTTTTTAAACAATAAAAAGTCATTTTACTCATCTGCATTTGTCTGCTTTTCTTAGGCAGTTTATAGGAAGCTAACACTCCTCCTTGTACCCTCCAGCAATCTTTTTTTTTTTTGATTGAAGCAGTAGCCTCACAACTGTTCAAGTGAGTGGTGCCAACCTGTGCTTTGGAGAAATTCTTATGTTCTTGACCTCACCTCTAGGCTTCTGTTACTAGGAAATGTGTTTTGCTAGCTGGCCAACAAACTCAGAAAAGCTCCTTTGAAAGACAAATGAATAATTCTTAACCTTCTAGAAAACTTCCTAACTCAAGTGTGGAACGTATGGTATGAAGTACCCTGGGTTTAACATAGTTACATACCTTAGGTGCTGAAATTTGACTCATTTGATTGTTTCTTATATCTGAGGCATGCTAATCTTTTGCCACATACCCTTTTCATGGGTTTTTTTCTTTCTTTAGGCTGTAGTGAGTAACAGAAGGTTCTGGGTCTACCCTTAATGAAACCAGCTGGGTTTTTTTTAATTCTAAAATTTAATTTGCTTAAAATAACTTTATTTTTGAAACAAAAGGAAGAGATTTTAGAAATAAGATCTATGCTTAAATACTATTTAATCTTTTATAAAAAGAAAAGCAACTATACTTTGTGGTTTTTTTGGTCCAGATTTTCTACCAAATATCGGTGTCCCCAAGTTAGGCCAGATTTTGTATTTTATCTGTGTAGTTGGCTCATTACAGTTTCTGTAATAATTACCAGTATTATTAAAATAATAATATTAGTTAGCAGTCATTGTGCATAGCTCAAAATCAAACAATAGAATAGCCACGCTTTTTTTAAAAAAAAAAAAGGATAAGATACTTGCTTCTTGGGCAACCTTCACAAATTTATTGCTTAGATTTTAAAGTCAGGTGACTGCAATGAAAGGTAAATCAGTGTTTTACATGGAAACATCATTGGCAGAACTCCAGCTACCCTACTGTAACTGCTTTTATATATGAGCTGTAATATTGGTACAAGGGGAAAAAATTAGGAAACTAATAACCACTTTGACAGAATTACTAAAACATATACAAAGCTTCCTGTTTAGCTTTGTGGCTTCTGTTTGAAGTTCACTTGTGCTTTGGTTTGGCAAGCTCTATGAGAATGTTCAGGCACTGTGTAACATATGTTTTGTTTTCCTTAAGGAATTAGAGTGTTCATCGAAAAGAAAGCACAGCTAACACTTTTAGGAACAGAAATGGACTATGTAGAAGACAAATTGTCCAGTGAATTTGTTTTCAATAACCCAAACATCAAAGGAACTTGTGGCTGTGGAGAAAGCTTCAACATTTGAAAACTCAGGACTACTTTGACATTAAGTATCAAGAATGCTCGTGCTCAACCATTTGGCTTTCTAAAGAAATCATATTTCTTTCAGGTTCTGGGCCTTGCAGTGTATGGCTACCTTATGAGGAAAATAAAGTTAATGCATTTTGAAAATAAAACCATTGTGTTAAATTCCAGAAAAAGTGGTCTTTGCACCATCCTTTAGGTGACAGACTGAGTTCTAGGAAATTTTTGAGGAGCACTGTTACTGTTCTGTAAAGAAAAAAACAATCCTTATTCTGAGTTTGTATCTCTATTTGTTATTTCTCTTCTAACAAATTTTCATTGTCCTTATCTTATTGATTAGATTCAGTCTTGCATTTCACATAGGTGTGCACAAAGTGGCTATCTGACAGGTGTAATTGTGTAATTCAACATTTTTACATTTCAATTCCTGATTTTTGACTCTCAAAATTCAGGCAGAAAATCTGACTCCTGGTGGCAGAGGACTTTGGAGATCTCTCACCTAGCCAAATTTGTCAGAGCCTTTTAAAATGTTTATCAAAGCTTTCTTTATCAGGAGGCCTTAACTTGAAACAGTCTTGGTCACTGAGTGTAGATAAGAGTTTTTAGGAACACTGTAAAGAATTTCTAGGTGACAGCGCTTTCTAAAAATATATATACCAGGTCCATAATTTTTAATTCCTTGTTTGTTCCACTCTAGTTGTCTTTCTGAAGCATGAGTCCTAAGCTCGATTGTAATTTAAGGGCTGGATGGAATCTTATGTGCCATCTAATCCAGCCCCCAAAGGCCTGATAAGGTGGGGCAGCCTGCCCAGGGTCCCATCCTTGAGATCATGGAACTAGCTAATGGTAAAGCCAGGACCAGATTTAAGTTTCTTAACTCACAGACAGGCTTTCCACTGGGCCACAGTGCCTCTTTAAAGATCCATGTCTCTTATCTCCTTATAAGTCATACAGATTGTCTGTGTCTGTGCTTTTAGGCAGTAGAGGGAAGTGAAGGATCTGTATTTGTCTTGACTGTGAAAAGAAGAAAGTGGCCTTTTTAGCTGGTTGACTTGTTAACTGAATTCCTTAGTCCTTCAGTTAAGTGGAGTACTGTTTTCTTTAAGTGACAGAATTTGGAGAGAAAGTTGTTTTAATTGCATTCTTTCTTTACATCTCTACAACCACAGTTCTAAAACTCAAAGAGGGTGAGTAATAGAGCAAGCTGAAAATCCTTTTTAAAAAAATTAGTATAACTACTATAGCTGTTGTGCTCCCCTTCAGTAGAATATGGTTGTCTTTTCTAAAGTTTCAAATTTAATATTTTCTAAATTCTAACTTCTGTTGCTGGAAGATTAAAGGAATAGTCTTTTTAAAAATGAACAAAAACTAATGCTCTTCCCTACAGTTTTTTTCTGGCAGTGTTCATTTTATATCCTAGTTCTTGATTCTGCAGGGTTTGACATATTGAATGCTTAATTTTGTGTGGTAGTATCTATGCGTCGTGTTTGAAAGTTAAGACTGTCAGAACTGAAATAGTTTTGAGTTCCTTTAAATATGATTGTCATGTTCATATCCTGCTCACTTGCATCCTGTTCATAGGAACCTGACGCACAACACGCACAAAACTTTAAGAAGTAATATTATGTAAGTGATAGTAACAACTTGTGTAGTTAATATTATTTTGTTGATCCATTTATAATTTGTGCAATATTGTATGTAGAAATCTTTGTTGCCAATAAAATTGTATCCTCTGTATAAGCATGGGATTGTGTTTTTTGACGAAGAACATAAAAGAACTGTAGGCTACTAGAAATCATCACTCACAGAAGGACAGCCCTGCTAGTTTCCTCCCTCATGTCTAGACTACTGCCATACCTTCCTAGTTGGACTTCCTCCTCCCATTCCATCTTACAAATAGCTACTAATTCAACATTCCTCAACGTGGTTTTCATCATGTCACTCACTTGCTCACGATTCTAGCAGTCACAACTGGAACACAACCTCTCCTCCAAAGCCCTCCATCATTTGACAGTCCTCTTCACCAGCCTCATTTCTTGTTGCTCCCTTATTCAGGCCATCCACTCAGTCAAGCTGGTTTTGGATCTTCCACACAACCTACCCGTCACTGCCACTCTTCCTGCCCAGTAATAATGTTTGTTATAGCTGACATTAAAGAGTATTTTAAAGTTCATAGAATGCTTTATATCTATCACTTCTATTGAGCTTCACGATATCCCAATGATCTCCATCATATTGGTGAAACAGCTAAGGCTCAAGAGCAGTTAAGAGGCTTGCCCAGAGTCAAACGGCAAGCAAGCATCAGAAGCAGGATTTGAACTCATGTTCTTTAAGTCTAACACTCCATCCATTACTCCAGAGTGCTGCCTGAGGTGATTGTGGTTTGATCATGTGACTGAAGGTCAAGCAGTTGGACCAGATGACATGATTTCTCAATCCATTTCTAAGATCTATGATTCTAAAAGTCTCTTGGGTACCTTGTTCATCATCTTCAAGACTGAGCTTGAAACCCTAATTCCAAAAAGCCTTCTTTTCATTTTTCCTACCTGCTTGCCCCATTTTAAGTATCTCATCCTGTCAATTTATGAGGCCCAAGTAGTTTATGATCCCAAGTTTTGACACACATTTGTACAGATTCAGAAATTCATCCTTCCAAACTTTTAAAGAATGACCACCGTCTTAGACAGATTGGAACACAGTTCATTTAAAGAGCACTTATAAATATTTCCCAAAGAGCATCATTCTTTTCATTAAGTGATAGAAATGTAATCAGTTTTAACTAAATTAGAAATAGGACTCTGGGCCCCTGTATATACTTTGGACTCAATGTGTACAATCAGTAATATATTCATTTGAATTTGTTGATTTAGTACTGTGGCCAGAATTGTCTGTTTCTTGGTTATATTATGAGGTACATAGTAGGCAGTTTGGAAATTTTTGACTGACTAATTTTTGTTCTATTTGATATGATCCTTGAAGCAATGAAAATATTGGTGACTTGAACCTCAACTAGAAGAATCACATCAATTCAGTCTCAAATCTCTACCATTTCTCATTAGTTTATCAGCATCCCATTCCAAACCTGAACAGCTCAGCCTTGAGGAAGACATCTGATGCTTTGCTACACTGATTCTTTGATGTCTTATATGAACTACACGTAGTTACCTGGATGCTCTAATTGCTATATATGGTGATGCCTAGAAACTTGCAAATCACTCTAAGCATTAACTTAATTGGTTCAATTAAGCCTGTAATAAATAGCCCTTTTTCAACTTAACAAATATTTTTGAAGGCATCTACTGTATGCTAAGGGTGTAGAGTTTCAGAAAAACAAAAGAAACCTTCTATATGTAATTATTGACATGATATCTCACGGTGATTCCATCATGGAAGATGGGATAAGTTTTTTGTTTTGTTTTTTTATTTTGTTTTCACATTGATGCTGGGTGATTTCCAGTACTTCCTGTCCAGGAGGAAGCAACCTTTCTTATGGAGTGAGATCTGAAAAACCAGGAAATGGAGAAACCTGTGAAAACACTAAGCTGCCTAAAAGCCTGGCTGAATTGATATCTGGATTTAGTTTGAAGTCTCACGTGATTCTTCCTAGTGCTGAACCCTTTGTCCTATTTCTAATTTGGTTAAAACTGATTACATTTCTACCACGTAACAAAAAGAATGATGTTCTTTGGGAATTATTTATAAATGCTCTTTAAATGAGCTGTGTTCCAATCTGAAGAAGACAGTGACCATCCTTGGAAAGTCTGGAAGAAAGAATTTCTGAATTCATACAAATGTGTGTCAAAACTTGGGGTCGTAAACTGTGTGGGCCTCAGAATTCACAGGATGAGATGCTTAAAATGGGGTAAATAGAAGTTTCATTTGCTCCTTTCTCTAAAGACAAGATGGGTTCTGATGGGAGTAAAGACCAGAGTGTATATATTTATAGGGCACCCACAGGCTATAGAAGCACTGAAACATTCAGCCACAGATAACAATACCAACTGATTGTTTTGTGTTGCCAATTCTCATGAGGCTCATATAATAATAACTAATATTTATATCGTGCTTTAAGATGTGCAGAGTGATCATCTCATTTAATCTTCACAACCACCCTGGGAAAGAGATTCTCATTTTACAGATGAGGAAACCAAGGCTTAAGAAAGCTGTAAACTCAATAGTTTAGTCAGAGTTACTACTTCAGAATTTAAAAAGACGTATTTCTTTTTTTTTTATTCTGAATATAAACAAACAAACAAAAAGAGCATTTCTAGACATGTTGTTTTGATGAGGGCAAGAAGAAAGGAATAGAAAAGGGGGTCTTCTAACATTAAAGTAACTTATGAAACATTTACTATGTACAGAGCACTTTCATGCATATGGTTTAATTGATCTGCACAGAAACCCTATGAGGCATATTATCTATATTTTAAGGCCAAAAAAACCCTGATGCTAGAAGAGGCTATACCTAAGCTAGTAAATTCCAGAGGTAGGATTCAAATCCAGATTTGACTGTACCACATTATACTACAGTCTCTTAAAAAAAAACACCTTTTAAAATTCAGTTCTAGAATTTCTTAAGCACTTTGTGGGAAATACAAACAAAAAATGAAAACTCCTCCACACCTCCAAACGCTTCCCCTCCCCCTGGCCAATTCAGACCTCTAGAGGCTTAAATTCTACCAGAGAGATGCAATGTACTCAGATACATTCATACAAAATAATAATTCGTAAAAGGTACATCCTTTCACCTCTGGGAAGGAAGTGCATTCCAGGTATGGGGAGTGGAATGTTGTGGCCAGCAGAGGTATCCGACCAGCTTGGCTGCCCACAACACTCTCTGATGTATCCTGAATCAGATTAAAATGGAATTGGGAAATGTTTAACAAAATAAACAACGAAACATAGCCATTACATTTTAAAATTAAGTCACCATATGCAGGCTGGAAGGGATCCTTAAGTACGGATTTGTATTTGAGTTTGATACTACTGGTATACCAAAAAAGAAGAGAAGAGGAGGAGGGAAGGAAATAGGTATTTATGTAGCACCGACTGTATACCAGGCACTGTGCCAAGCACTTAACAAATGTCTCAGATCCTCACAACGACCCTTTGTGGTAGGTGCTATTCTTTTCCTCATTTTACAGTTGATGAA